GCCTTCACAGATACAGTCATCTAATTTTTTAGTAAATAATACTTTGGAGAAAACACAGCCTCTTTAACAAGTGGTGTTGGGAAAACTGAAATTCCACATGTAGAGGACTGAAACTACTACTCTCTCTCACTCTGAACAGAATTAATTGAAAATTAGTCATACTTGTAGATGTAAATCCTTCTTTTGGTATGGTCAGTGTTCTCTAATTTATTTTTGCAATTCTGGGTCTCAAAACCAAGGCTCACACACACTAAGTAATTGTGTCATTGAGATACTTCCCCAGTCCCTTGAGTGGATATTAAGTAAAAAATTAATTGATAAATGGGATTGAAAGCCACTAATCTATGAATTCCAGAACACTTAAAATCTTTCTCATGAGTTCCATTATATGTCCCATTATTTTTCTATGTACAAATGCATAATCTACCAATGTAAGCTAACATTACTTCCTGTCCTTTTCCCATTTGCATTTTCCCAATTAAATCCAGCCTGGGCAAATAGTTAGTGAGACCCTAACTTGAAAGTACCCAACACAAAACAGGGCTGGCTGAGTGGCTCAAGTAGTAGAGCACCTGTCTAGCAAGTGTGAGGCCCTGACATCAAATCCAATTACCACAAAAAGGATTTTTTTAATTAATATTTTTAACATTGATGGGTGAAGTGTACACCAACCATACCTGTACGACTACTGTCTGACATAGATGTCTCTCATTTTTGTCATTTTTGAATTTATGGATGATATGCTTCTGAATGTGTTGGCCTGTGAGACCTGTTTGTGTTCATCTGCTACCTCTGAATTTCTTTGTCATGATGAAACTTTGTTCTGTATCCTTTTAGTGTCGAGGCTTTTTAAATTAGCCTTTTGGACTGTCTGCTCCATAATTTGCTTTCCTTACAATTTATCTACTTCAAAGATGTGGATATTGTTAATTTTTTCTGTGATCCTTCTCAACTTCCAAATCTTTTCTCTTGTTGTTACCAGAAAGATTAGTCTAAGAAGACACAATCTAGAAGACTCTGAGTTCTGAACAGAGAGCTGGACAGAGAAATAATTTGCAAAAAATAGTACCAAAACTTCACTGAAAGGAAAGGAAGATTGAGTAAGAGGAAACACCTCAAGAGAAAAGATGTGGGTCCCTGCCAGATGGCATGGAGGCATTGATTAGCAAAACTTTATTGAAAGAAAAGAAAAGAGAAGAAATAAGCACCACAAGGGAAGTACTCAATCCTTGCCAGGTAGCTCAGATACATTGATTTGTTTGTTTAAGTCCAATTTATAATTTGTAAGGTAGGAAACTCTGGACAGTCCTTATAGTGGGGCTAGGATGGCTGGCAGATGTAATCAATATTTATGAGGTCCTAATTAAGAGGATATGGCCTGGGAGGTCAAATTGGGGTCAGGAATTGTTTTCTACAAGCAAGGCAGACCCAAACATGCCACTTCTGGATGCTATCTTGCAATGATATTTATGACCACCAGAGTATTTACAATAGAGGGGAATGCAATTTGGAAACTGCAGTAAAAATAAGCATATACACATGTAAATTAAGCCTTTTTATCAAAAATACTTTTGTAGTTTGTGAACCTTAATTCCTTATCATTTTTCATAGCAGAATGTGTATATGTGGGGTTGGGGTAGGAAGAAATGTATATATTTAAATGGATACAAATTTTCTATTTCAAAGGATGAAATATTTCTAGTAATGGATAATACTGATAGTTGCACAATGATGTAACTATAATTCATACCATTGAACTATGATAAAAATGTATATTTTACCACAATAAGCAATGGATGTAAAAGGCAGATAAGCCACTGGAAAAATATGCCATCCCTTTGTATACTACAACTGCATGTTCTCTATCATATGTGGTAAGTAAATGGTGTTGACCTGAAAGTAAATTAGTGATTTAAGGGGACTGTGATGGGTGTTTCCAGGGCAAATGTAGAAGAGGGTGGATGGAATTTATTAATGCATACTGTATGCATGTTTGGAAATATCAGACTGAATCCCCATTAATATGTATGATAATTGTTATCAAGAAAAGATGTGGAAGAGTTGAATATTACACTTAACTTCCTTCTTAGTAAATGAAGAGATGACACACTTTAGGGTTTTCTCTTCTTGTTCTTCCACTAATGATATAAAATCCTTCGAGACCTGGGTAACTAAGACCAATTTTGCTAATTATAAGCTCTGTGCATTAAACATCCAAAGTCAGTAAATAGACAACAATTAGTCTTTTCTTCCAGACCATCAGCCTGATTGTTCCAGACTTGTGGCACCATCTCTGTGTCTGATTCTTGTGAATTTCTCTGCATCAGGAAGCATCTCACTATATTCCTATCAATCCTCAGGGCATAACCTAAACTTTATCTACAGATTTCTCAGAGGATCCTCAGCCTTTGATCATGAACCAGCAGAAACACAGCATTAACCAGTAAGTGCTGAGAGAGATGTTGTATGGAGGAAAGACTGAGACACTATTTGCTATCATGAGGACAAACATAAAAGTTTTGTTAGTAAGATGGGAGGAAGTGAATGGCAAAGTTTCACTTATGGAGATTGTGAAGTTTGTATTCTTGTTTGTAACGGGGTCACATATCTCATTCAAAATTTTCTTTCCTTCCATACTGGTTCTACTTCCCATAGATATTTCATCCCTGGTAAGGTGAAGCTAAGCACCACCAAACTGTTCTGTAAGCATTCATAGAAGTTTAAAAACATGGCAATGAGAATAAGAATAATGATAGTAATAATACCATCATTAATCATTATTGGGAGGTGTTTAAATGCTAGTCACTGAGATACGTTTTCTCTGTAATTATTTTCATATGCATACATTAGTTCTAATTATCCACATTATTGTCATTTTCAATGAAAGGAAGGAAGGTAATGACATTTTCTTCATAACAATCCCTAGTTTTTTTAAGTAGAAAGAGTGGGCTATATTTTAATTCAGCTACTTGACTATAGATAGAAAATATCTTGGTTTGAAAATCCTGGCAATTTTTACTCTTGAACCCCAAATCACCATTTCACATCCATATTAGTCCAGGAAGAAATGCCTGGATAACTATCCTCTTTCTTTTGAGGGTTCAAGGTAGATCAAAGGGCAAACAGAGGGTGATATGTACTGCCTCTGTTATAAGAAAGATAACTGAGGTCAGAAGCAAAGATCACAGAAAGTATAGGACAGAACAATTCAGCACAAAGCTAATTCTTAGGCATAATGTTTATATCATTGCACCTATGTACATCACACTCATTTATTCTGCCCCTGAATATCAAAAGCTCCCCTGGATACAGTCAGGTATTGATTTCTTTCCTATTTGAGAAACTGGTGTAAGTCAAAACATGTGCCTTAGATGTCTGTGGTTGACCTCTATATCTGTGCTTAAACATTTGCATTGTTATGAAAACAATGAAAGATTAAGTACATCAGTCCCAAATACAGAAATTTTAGTTTTTAAATTTCTTCACATGTATGTTTATTTCCTCAGTAGGGTAGGCTTTTTTTTCCTCTGAGACACAGCATTTTCATTAGAGTTGCTTTCTAGTTGAAAACACTGCCCTGAATGTGGATTAAACAGATACGGGTGCTCCATATGAAGTTATGGTGTTGGGTGTAAAAAATTATGGCAAAATAATATGCAGATATTATTGCTAATCATGTTAAATTTAATACTCATGGCATTCAATTAAGTATCCTTAGATAAAAAGTGATTTTTTTCTTTACTTATGTAAAAGGACATTTCATTTTTTTTCTAATATACGCATATGCTGTGTATTTGGAGAGGAATGATTAACTCTCTTGCATTTGTGATTCCTCAGACCTATACACAGTTTGGAAAAGAAGGGCTACCAAAACAACAAATAATCTGTGTTAAATATTGAAGGTATAAAACACTGAAGAAATGGAAATATTCATTGTTCACAATTATTGACCATAATCATTGTGGCTTCAAAATATTGGGCACTTTCCTGTTTGCACTTTCATCCTTTCCAGAAGTGCTCTATGTTTTTCTCCTTTCTACCTTAGTCTCCTTTTATGGTAATTCAACAAATTTAAAAATTGTGTCTTCATTCTTGTAGAAAAAGGACATTATCCATATTCACCTTCTTACCTTGATTTTTTACCCTTCCTCTCCCATTAGTGCCCTCTCTTTAGCATAACTTGTTTTTCATAATATTGTTTATATTTGTATTGTGTCTATCTATCACATACGACAGAAAACAAATGACCTTTGTGTTTCTGAGCCTAGCTTACTTCACTTAACATAGAAAGGAGAAAAATACAGGATATGAATGAATTTTGGTTATAATATATATGTACATAGAAATGCCACAAAGGAACTCCATGTAGATCTATCTTAAAAAACAAAAATACCTACGTCCAAAAATGGAGAACAGATAGATAACACAGATCCTGTCTGTGGGGTTGGTACCAGTGGGAGAGGGGAGGATATAAGGAAAGGGTGAAGGGGGCTGAAAGTATGATAAATAATGTGTACTCATTCATGAAAATGGAAAAGTGAGACATGTTGAAATTATTCCAGAAATTGGGGTAGGAGTAGGGAATAAAGCAAATAATGGAGGGGGTGAATTCAACTCTTATATATTGTAAGAACTTTTGTAAATATCAGAAAGTACTCCAGTAAAATAATGATTTAATTATAAATGAAAATATGAAACAAACAAAAATGTCACGTAGAACTAGAGGTAAGATTTAGAAAGCTCTCGTTTGTTTTAATACATTGGATACACATGTGCTGTAGGTAATCCTTTAAATCACATTTACATATTTGAATTTATAAAATGTAACAGAAGTTTTCATGGGTATGAAACACAACAGAGGGACTCAAAGAGAAGGGGAATGTAAAATTTATGGATAGAGATGAGATACTGCTTAGAGTTTAATATCATTCTAGGCTCCAGTGCTTTTTAACAATTTTAATCATCAATAACTCACTTTTTATATATGGTTGAACTTTATATTTAAAAAATGCAACCACAATGACCATATATATTTTAAATTTTAAATTTCACTTGTGTGCTGTCGGGGATATGTGTTGTTCTCTCTCTCAATAATCACTATGAGCTCACAGTGATGGAGAGATTCTCTGAGTGATTGGGACTAAAGTATTCATTTCATGATTCCCCTCCCAGGGCACTGTCACCTCTATTAGAGACAAACCAAAATACTGTTTCTTATAGGCTATGGAATTTTGGTCATTTATTATGGAATTTTATTAATAGATGACTAGATATTTTGGTGTTATAGTTGAAGAATATAAGATTATATTGATAATGACTTACTTTTATTCATACAACAAATGTAGGCAATTAGAGGTAAAGTAAAACATGAATCAGTTGTTAGATTCATGGGTAGATAATAGCCTCTAACCAAATAGTACATGGACAATGTCACCTTAATGTTGTGTAAAGAGGCATACAAGTTTAGAAAGGATTGCCCTAAATATAAACTGACAAATTTCATGATGTCTCTGTCTCAGGTATCATTTTGAATCAGTTAAAGCCTTTGTTGTTGAAGTTCATACTTCACAGAAAGACATAAAATTTCATGTCAGTATAATGTGTACATGTCAGAGGAACTAGATGTTATGAAATACATTGCTTACATGAACTATAAATATTTTAGGTAAATTTTAAGGAAAGTATAGATGCATAAATCAAATGACATGGAAAGTGAGAAAAATATATTTACCAAGTTTATGACAATAGTTTACTTTTGGTGACAGGTGTACAAGAGTATAGAATTATGCAGATATACAAAGAATTCCCTTTTCATAGATGATAATTCACATTAATATTATATATGAGTTTTGAATGGCCTAATGTGAATGGTTTTATTTTTATATAGGTTTTAGATCTATATTGATGGCAATATCTGGTAACATCAGAAGAATATTTTTAATGCCAGAAAGTTTCTAAGCAGTAGTTCTAACATTGTTGTAGAAAAGAATCAGAATTTTCACCTGCAGATTTTATATATATCATATATATATATATATATATATATATATATATATATGCATACATATACATGGAGTGAGAGAGAATATCCATATGGACAGAATCTATCTATCTATCTATCTATCTATCTATCTATTTATCAACTATCTCTATCTATTTATCTATATCCACAGGGAAATGTATATATAAATGGGATTGAAACCCACAAGTCCTCACAATTTAAAGTTTCCTACTATCTTTTTCATAAAAACATTTTAGGTACAAAATTATTATTCCCATTTTATAATTGAGAAAACTTTTCAACTATGTTTACCTTATTTCTTGTACTTTTTTCTCTTACTCTGTTTTATTTATTTTTAGCAGTACTAAGGTTTGAACTCAGGACCTAGAGCTGGCTAAGGGGAGGCCTACCTCTTGAGTCACACTCCAGACCTGTATTTTTCCTTTTGGAACACTTTTTGTAATTAAATCACAGTATGAGTTCGGAATAAGAAGGTTCCAAGCATTGAAGTTGCATTTAGATTCTGTGATTATAACATTGGAGCCACCTTAAAATTTAATATTGTCTTAAAAGCAATGAAAAGGTATTAGAAGAAAATTGAAGAATACAGAAAGAAGAGAAAGGAAAAATAACGATCTATCTTCATGTTAGATCTTTCTAAGATAATAAGGGGTTGAAAGAAAAGTTTCCCTTCCATTTTCTTTCCTTTCCCTTCCCTCTCCTTCTCTTCTTTATTTCTTGTTTTCCTTCCTTCCTCCATCTCTCTCCCTTCTCTTGATTTCCTTTCTTCCTTCCTTCCTTTCTTCCTTCCATCCTTCCTTGCATCTTTTATTTCTCCATCCCCCTCTCCCTACTCTCTCTCTCTCTCTCTCTCTCTCTCTCTCTCTCTCTCATACAAGTTCTCACTCTATAGCCCAGACAGACCTTGAACTTATGATACTCCAGCAATAATCTCTGAAGTCCTCAGATTCCTGAGTTCTGCTATTATAGCTGTTCATAACTACATTCAGCTAACATTTTATCATTCTTTAACTGTTGACAGGTATTATGTACACTGATGCCACATTCGGGATTTGTAATGTCATGCCATATATGCATTTAACCAAATCATATTTATCAAAATTTGAAGTTCACCAAAGAAATGCATAGCATTTATTCAAGAAATAATTGTTAAAACACTTCCCAGAGTTGAGTGAGAACTTATATTCACAAGAAAGGATGGATGAAAAGTGCAAGAATTATTAAAACAATAAAAAACTACAGGAAGATAAATCACAAAGCAATGTTTTTTGACTTTGAAACATTAACTTTAATTTAGTATTTAAATGATGTGGTTTTAGCTCCTGTATATAATTTACAACCATTTTAATGAAGAGAATTTTTTGCACATTCCTAGAATAACGTTTGGTAACAGTTAGTCTTTGGATACTTCTTAATTTTCCTTGATGACAATGATTATTTTTCCTAAAATAGGAAGATCATTTCTTATTTACTAATTTTTTGAAAATTATAGGTAGTATTTCACTGCAATTATGAACTGGATATGGTGATGTTTTCTAACATTGCTCCATTCAGTATTTCTCAAATAATTGAAGACTTACAAAATAATATAGTAATGGCAACTATTAAGACCAGGAGCTAATGTACATTCTACTTAGAACAGAACATTAGGTGTTACAGAAAAAACATGGAAACATTATGGAAGAAAATTTTTGGTATACTTAGGAAATAAATGATTTATGAAGAAAGGAAGAAAGGGTTTGTCAAAGAAGGAATATTGCTGAAGATGGATGGAAATGAAGTGTGAATTCTTGTGAATATCTGAGTTAAAAAATAGAGGTGTCTGCATTGTTTTTCTGTGCACTAACCATTTTGTTTTCAAAAGGTGTGAAATCAGCATAGGACACAAAATCTAACAATTGTCTCAGAATTCCATCTCTTGGGAATCTCAGATGATCCAGACCTCCAGCCAATCCTCTCTGGATTATTCTTGTCCATGTACCTAGTCACAGTGCTTGGGAACCTGCTCATCATCCTGGCTGTCATCTCTGATTCTCACCTGCACACCCCTATGTACTTCTTCCTCTGTAACCTATCAGCAACTGACATATGTTTCATTTCTACCATGGTCCCAAAGGTGATTATAAATATTGAAACTCACAGCACAGTCATCTCCTATGTGGGCTGCCTGGCACAGATGTCTCTTTTTATCATTTTTGGATGTATGGATGATATGCTTCTGACAGTGGTGGCCTATGACCAGTTTTTGGCAATCTGTTACCCACTGCATTACTCAGTCATCATGAACCCTCACCTATGTGTCTTGTTGGTGCTTTTGTCTTTTTTTATTAGCCTTTTGGACTCACTTCTGCACAATTTTATTCCCTTACAATTTCCCTACTTCAAGGATGTGGAAATTTCCAATTTCTTCTGTGACCCTTCTCAAGTCCTTAATCTTGCATGTTCAGATGCTTTTACGAACAAAGTAGTTATTGGCTTTGTTGTTATTATCTCTGGATTTCTTCCTATCTCAGGGATCTTTATTTCCTACTATAAAACAGTTTCCTCAATTTTGATAATCCCATCATCAGTTGGGAAGTGTAACACTTTTACCACATGTGGGTCTCATCTGTCAATTGTTTGTTTATTTTATGGAACAGGCTTTGGAGTGTACCTCAGTTCTGCTATCTCACATTCTCCCAGAAATTGTGCACTGGCCTCAGTGATATCCACAGTAATCACACCTATGCTTAATCCCTTCATCTACAGCCTGAGGAACAGGGACATCAAAAACACTCTAAGGCATCTCCGTATGTGTAGAATTTAACCTCAGAATTGGCGGCGTTCCATTGGAATATAGTTTAGAAAACACAGAATAAGTAAACATTAACCATGTAAATGAAGCCCTCTTCTTCATAATACTTTTGTAGTTTGTGGATTTTAATTTATCATATTATATAACAGTGTGTATATATATTTACCATAACAATGATCAATATATTATGCACATGGATCTTTGAAAAAAATTAACCAGCTCCAGAAAGATTTGAACCATATGTTCTTTTTTCTCTTATGTGTCAAGTAAACCGTTCACTTCAAAGTAGAATAGTGATGACTTGGGACTGAGATGGGTGCTTGGGAGGCAAGTGTAGAAAGAGTAGTTCAATGCATGCTTCATGGATGCTTGAAAATATTACACTGAATCTCACTAATGTGTATAATTTATATGTGTTAATTAGAAAATAAGTAAATATTACACTTACGCTTGCTACTTAGCAAAGGAAGTTAACATAGACTGTGTGGGTTTCTCTTCTCTTTCCTCCACTAATAAGAAAAGATCCTTATAGATTTGGATAACAAATCTGACTGATTACGAGATCTGTATGTTGAGACTCCAAAGTGAGCAGATACTTTTAATAATCAAACTGTGTTTTTAGACTGTCAACCTGATTACTTCAATCCAATTGGCACTATGTCTGCACCTTCCATGTTTGTGTATTGCTTTTGCGCAATTTGCTTATGAGATCTAAGAGTTTTTTTTAATTTTATTATTCATATGTGCATACAAGGCTTGGGTCACTTTTCCCCCCTGCCCCCACCCCCTCCCTTAACACCCACTCCGCCCCCTCCCTCTCCCCCCAACCCCCTCAATACCCAGCAGAAACTATTTTGCCCTTATTTCTACTTTTGTTGTAGAGAGAGTAGAAGCAATAATAGGAAGGAACAAGGGTTTTTGCTGGTTGAGATAAGGATAGCTATACAGGGCATTGACTCACATTGATTTCCTGGGCGTGTGTGTTACCTTCTAGATTAATTCTTTTTGATCTCACCTTTTCTGTAGTTCCTGGTCCCCTTTTCCTATTGGCCTCAGTTGCTTTTAAGGTATCTGCTTTAGTTTCTCTGCATTAAGAGCAACAAATGCTAGCTAGTTTTTTAGTTGTCTTACCTATCCTCACCCCTCCCTTGTGTGCTCTCGCTTTTGTTATGTGCTCAAAGTCCAATCACATTGTTGTGTTTGCCCTTGATCTAATGTCCACATGTGAGGGAGAACATACGATTTTTGGTTTTTTGGGCCAGGCTAACCTCACTCAGAATGATGTTCTCCAATTCCATCCATTTAGCAGCGGAGATCTAAGAGTTTTTTGATGGAGTTTTTAGGACCTTTCAGGTATAAGATCATACCATCAACACATAGGAGTAATTTGACTTTGTCCATCCCTATTTGCATCCCTTTTATTTTTTCTCCTATCTTTCTGCTATGTTAGGCATTCCAACACTACATTAAATATGAGTGGTTAACAGTGGACATCCTTTTCATTACTGATTTTAAAGGAAATGGTTGCGATTTTTCTCCAGTTGTTATGATGTTGGCTATTGGTTGTCGTATATAGCCTTTAGAATGTTGAGTAATGCCCCTTCCATTCTTAATTTCTTCAGAGCTTTTATTAGGAAACAGTGTTGAATTTCATTGAAGGCTCTAAATTTCTACTGAGATTATAATTTTTGTGATTTATTATGTTTATTTTTTGAATCATCATCATAATCACCTTCATAATTTGAGATCATGATTCCACCAGTGAATGAGATAATGTGATATTTGGCTTTTCAGTCTGTTTATCTCACCATGATATTCTTTAGTTCTATACATTTTCCTGCAAATTAAAATATTTCATTTTTCTTTTTTTAAAACATTTTTATTTGTATATAATAGTTTTATAAGGGGTTTCTTTGTGACAATTCTATATATGCATACAATGAACTCTAGTTTGCTTCATCCCATCCATTCTTTTCCCTGTTACTGCTTCCCCTTCATAAAATGATATTGACAGGTTTTAATGTTCTATATTCATACATGGGTATAAAATACATCAACCATATTAACCATCCTTTACCCCCTTAGAACATTAACCCTTAACTTACCCTTCAATTACTACTAGGGTCCTACCCTATCATGCTGTTTTACATCACGGTCCTTCATTGTTTAAATGTGGGCTCATTGTTCAGTGGGGTTTTGCCTTGGTATTTTACCTATAAATATATTTTTCTTCCACCCATCTAATTCCCACTTCCTTTCACACTTCCTTTCTCTTTTCACCCTACCCTGTATTGTTTAACATTTTTAGTGCCTTTCATTGTGTCTAGTTCCTACAAAAATGCCATGTAAATTTCAATATTATTTGCTTTCTATCATTCTATTCTTTTCCTTCTCCACTAATCTCCTCTGATATTTCCACTATTGGAAAAATGTTCTGTATATATAAGCATATATGGTAATGCTTATATTTATATTTGGAGCTATCTTCTACATATGAGAGAAAATATGCAACCTTTTTATTTCTGAACCTGGATTACTTCACTTAACATTATGTTCTCCAGTTCAATCCATTTACCTGTGAACAACAAATATCATTATTCTTTATGGCTGAATAATATTCTATTATACATACATATGTATGAATGGATCTATCACATTTTCTTAATTGATTCATCATTTGTAGGGGATCCTTTAGTTTCTATAGTTTGGCTCTTGTGAATAATGCTACAATAAACATTGCTATGCAAGTGCCTTTATTGTATCTTTATTTACATTCCCTTGCATATGTATCCAGTAATGGTATTTCTGGATCATATGGTAGTTATATTTTTAGTTTTTTAGGAACCTCTACATTGTTTTCCATAGTAGTTGTATTAACTTACATTCCCCCAAAGATTGTATAAAGGTTCTTTTTTCTTCACATATTTACCAATATGTATTATTCTTTGTGTTCTTGATGATAGCCATTCTAACAGGAGTGAGGTGGAATCTTAATGTGGTTTTGATTGGCATTTCTTCTATGACTAGGGATGTTGTGCATTTCTTCACATTTTATTTGGCCATTTGTACTTCTTTCTTTGAAATATTTTAGTTCAGACATTTGCCAATTTCTTCATTGGGTTATAAATTTTGGGGGAGTTTTGTTTGTTGATTTCCCTGTAAATTCTGGTTATTAATCCTTGTCAGATGTGTAGCTGGTAATAATCTTCTTCTATTCTGTGGGCTACAAATTTGGTATGTTTCCTTTGCAATACAGAACCTTTTTAGTTTCATGTATTCTCATTTGTCAATCCTATTTTTAGTTGTTTATTTTACATCTATTGAGATTGTTTTTATTCTCTTGGTTCAATTTTGGTAGATCCAATTTATACAGTCACAAATTTATTCATTTTTAGAATTTCCACTTTATGTGAATATTGGTATTCAAATTACTTCCTCATCATCTTTTCATTTTATTGTTATTTGCTGCTACATCCCATTTTCACCTTCAATATTATGAATTTGGTTCTTTTCCCTCTTCTTTCTAATCAGATTGACTAAGGGTTTATGAATCTTATATATGCTTTGAAAGATCCAACTTTTTGCTTCATTAATTTGTTTAATAATATTTCTGTCTGACTTCATTAATTTATGCCCAAACATTCTTTCCATTTACAAATTTATGGTTTGGCCTATTGTTATTTTTATAGGAGGTCAAAGTGCATCGTAGGGTCATTTGATTTTATTTTTTAATATAGATGCTCATGGTTCTAAGATTTTCTCTTCACTCTGCCTTTGATATATCCATAGTTTCTCTTGGTTGTGCTTCCATTTTTATTAGAGTCTACCAACTTTTCATTCTCCTCCTTTATTTTTGTAATGACTGCTGGTCATTCACTAGTGTGTTGCTCACTCCTTATATGCTTTAATATTTTCTGTAGTATCTTTGGTAATGACCTCTAGTTTTATTTCATCTTGTTTTATAACATACAGGGAATTATATCTTATTTCTCATATTTGCTAAGGTTTGATTCATGTCTTAAAATGTGATCTATTTTCATATTCAAACGTACATGTAGAATACATTTGTAATTGTGTGACTACAATAAGGGACTTGGGGCAGGAGGGAAAGGAAAAGGTAATGATACAGTGTCAACAATATCATAATACATAACTTCTGTGAAGGTAGCAGATATAAGGATATGTATGGAAAATTGTTGAAAAATAGAGAGTTGGAGAGAAAGGGTAATGGAGTGTAGTGGATGGGGTTGACCTGACCAAAGTAAAATATTCTCACAGTGGAAATACATTGAGAAACCCCATTGAACATTGACTTAGGAATTAATAATGAAAGATAGGACTGTTTGTATTCCTTTTATTTCTTCTTCTTGCCTAATTGCTCTGGGTAGAAATTCCACTATTATATTGAAAAGGAGTGGGGATAGTAGGCACCTTTGTCTGATTCCTGATTTTAGAGGAAATGGTTTCAATTTTTCACTGTTAATTATGATGATGGCTGTAGGTTTGTCATATATAGCCTTTGCAGTGTTAAGGTACTTTCCTTCTATTCCTAGCCTTCTATTCCTAGTTTTCTTAGAGCTTTTATCATGAAGTGGTGTTGGATCTTGTTAAAGGCTTTTTCTGCATCTATTGAGATGGTTTTTGTCTTTACTTCTATTAATGTGTTGTATTACATTTATAGATTTGCATATATTGAAGCACCCCTGCATCCCTGGGATGAAGCCAACTTATTTGTGGTGTATGATCTTTCAGATACGTTGTTGGATTTGGTTTGCCATTATTTTACTGGGGATTTTTGCATAGGTATTCATTAAGGAAATTGGCCTATTGTTCTCCTTTTCAGAAGTGTCTTTGTCTGGTTTTGGGATGAGAGTAATGTTGGCTTCATAAAATGACTTAGGCAGTGTTCCTTCTGTTTCTATTTCATGGAACAGTTTAAGGAGGGCTGGTATTAATTCTTTTTTAAATGTCTGATAGAATTCAGCAGTGAATCCATCATGTCCTGCCCTTTT